TCTGTGTTTCTCTGTGTCTCTCTGCGTCTCTCTGTGTCACTCTGTGTCCCTCCGTGTCCCTCTGTGTCTCTCTCTGTGTCTCTCTCTGTGTCTCTCTCTGTGTCTCTCTGTGTCTCTCTGTGTCTATCTGTGTCTCGCTGTGTCCCTCTGTGTCCCTCTGTGTTCCTCTGTGTCTCTCAGTGTCTCTCTGTGTCCCTCTGCGTCCCTCCGTGTCCCTCTGTGTCCCTCTGTGTCCCTCTGTGTCTCTCTCTGTCTCTCTGTGTCTCTCTGTGTCTCTCTGTGTCTCGCTATGTCCCTCTGTGTCCCTCTGTGTCCCTCTGTGTCTCTCAGTGTCTCGCTGTGTCTCTCTGTGTCTCTCTGCGTCTCTCTGGGTTTATCGGTGTCCCTCTGTGTGCCTCTGTGTCCCCCTGTGTCTCTCTGTGTCTCTCTGTGTCTCTCTTTGTCTCTCTCTGTTCCTCTGTGTCCCTCTGTGAGTCTCTCTGTCTCTCTCTGTGTCTCTCTGTGTGACTCTGTGTCTCTCAGTGTCTTTCTGTGTCTCTCAGTGTCTCTCTGTGTCTCTCCCTGTCTCTGTGTCCCCAAATTAAAGCTGTGCGTAGCCCGCCTAGCTTTTAGCGGATCAATAAAGAAACTGTCTCTCTGTGTCTCTCTGTAAGTCTCTGGGTCTCTCTGTGGTCCTCTGTGTCCCTCTGTGTCTCTCTGTGTCCCTCTGTGTCCCTCTGTGTCCCTCCGTGTCCCTCTCTGTGTCCCCTCTGTGTCCCTCTGTGTCTCTCTGCGTCTCTCTATGTTTATATGTGTCTCTCTGTGTCTATATGTGTCTCTCTGTGCCTATCAGTGTCTCTGTGTGTCTCTGTGTCTCTCTGTGTATCGCTGTGTCTCTCTGTGTCTCTCTGTGTCTACGTGTGTCTATATGTGTCTCTATATGTCTATATGTGTCTATATGTGTCTCTCTGTGTTTATATGTCCCTCTGTGACTATATGTGTCACTCTGTGACTCTATGTGTCTCTCTGTGTCTATATGTGTCTCTCTGTGTCTCTCTCTGTCCCAATATGTGTCTCTCCGTGTCCCTCTGTGTTTCTCTGTGTCTCTGTGTGTCTCTCTGTCCCTGTGTCTCTCTGTGTCTCTCTGTGTCTCTCTGTGTCCCTCTGTGTCCCTCTGTGTCCCTCTGTGTCCCTCTGTGTCTCTCTGTGTCTCTCAGTCTCTCTCTGTGTCTCTCAGTCTCTCTCTGTGTCTCTCTCTGTGTCTCTCTCTGTGTCTCTCTGTGTCTCTCTGTGTCTCTCAGTGTCTCTCTGTGTCTCTCTGTGTCTCTCTGTGTCCCTCTGTGAGTCTCTCTGTGTCTCTCTGTGTGTCTCTGTGTCACTCAGTGTCTTTCTGTGTCTCTCAATGTCTCTCTGTGTCTCTCTGTGTCTCTCTCTGTCTCTCTGTGCCTCTCTGTGTCTCTCCGTGTACCTCTGTGTCCCTCTGTGTCCCTCTGTGTCCTCTGTGCCTCTCTGTGTCCCTCTGTGTCCCTCTGTGTCCCTCTGTGTACCTCAGGGTCCCTCTGTGTCCCTCTGTGCCCCTCTGTGTCCCTCTCTGTCCCTCTGTGTCCCTCAGTGTCCCTCTGTGTCCCTCTGTGCCCCTCTGTGTCCCTCAGTGCCCCTCTGTGTCCCTCGGTGTCCCTCCGTGTCCCCTTGTGTCCCTCTGTGTCCCTCTGTGTCTTTTATGCGTCTCGCTGTGTCACTCCGTGTCTCTCTGTGTCTCTCAAGGTCTCTCTGTGTCTCTGTGTCTCCCTGTGTCTCTCTGTGTCCCTCTGTGTCTCTCTGTGTCCCTCTGTGTCCCTCTGTGTCTGTGTGTGTGTGTGTGTTTGTATGTGTCTATATGTGCCTATCTGTGTCTCTCTGTGTGCCTATCTGTGTCTCTCTGTGTGTCTCTGTGTCTCTCTGTGTCTCTCTGTGTCTATGTGTGTCTGTATGTGTCTATCCACGTAAGTTTTGCTGGTTGCTTCTTCGCTTGAACGAGCCAGCTTTTCGCTTGAACAAGCATTTTTTCGCTTGAGCGATCTGCCCTCGATGCTGCTTGGGGCCTGGTGCTGACCGTGGCTGCCTTCTTGAACCCGGGCAGTGGGCTTCCCGCAGCACTGACCCGAGAGGGGCGCCAGAAGACAATTACTGGCTCCATACCCGCAGGCTTCGCACATGACGACGGGTGGGACGGGGCTGGGGTCCCAGAAGCCAAAGAGACGTGCACGAGCCTGCGGGGACGGAGATCGCCAGCGGTCCCCCCTTCTCCGCTAAGCTCCGGGCACCCAGTTTGCCTGGTGCTCCAGGTTCTCCTCGCGGATCTTGCGGGCCTCCTCCTCAAAACGGTGTCTCTCCTCCTCCAGGGGCGCTCTCGCAAGCGCTGGCGCTGCGGCTGGCGGAGACAAACCGACCAAAGGGGGGATGAGCCTAGCTGCCACGATACGCAACACGCAACACGTAGCGTGTTGACACGGATCTCAACACGTCGACTGAAACGTAGGTCTGACGCGATACGTTCGTCAAAACGTGGGCAAACATGCTGAGCCAACACACAACGTATTGGCACGGACGTTTAGAGCACGGTAAGTGTTGCGTATCAAGACGGGCGGCATCGAGGCAACTAAGGGGAGAATGGTCCGACAAAGAATTGACCCTCAGCTCAGGGGTCGTTAGAACGGCACCGACACTTCTGCCCCGACCTGCTTTGGGCCCTGCGGCCCTCACACGTCGACGATCAAGCTCAGAATCGACTGCGCGCAAGACTGACCCTGGAAAAGAGTGACCTTTGCTGCGCAGCTTGTTGGGGGCCACGGGGGGGCCAACACACAAGCGCGCAAAACGCTCCTATCGCATCGCGTTCGGCGATCGGACAGAGTGCTCACTCAGCATTAATGAATGCTGCACGAGCAGCTCGAAACGTCGCTCGCTCCTCCACATCGAGCCTACCACCCCATCTCTGGGGTGCTCAGGGAGGGGAAGAGTCAGGGTGCAACGGGAGGAGGGGCGGCGGGGATGGGGAAACAGAAAGATACCGATGCCGCTACTTGACAGACTCCTCCCGGTGTACGCTCTAACCAGAACTTCGAGGAGAACTCAGCCGTGGCGAGAAGGACCCTCCACTGGGAAGAGGGCGCTGCCGAGCGTGGGAGCGGGATAGATGGGGGGTGAATATGTTGCCCAGCAGCAGCACAAGGGCGCGCGCTCGCACCCCCCCCGATTTATGGGGATGTGGCGCTCGGCGCACGCTCGCGCTGCCCAAGGTCCCGCCCACCCTTGGGGGTCCCGCAACGGTGCGGTGACGGATCTCCCACGACCTCACCGCGCAGCTCGTCACCGCACGGTTTTGGGACCCATGAAAGCCCCAATCACCCCGGACATCCTCCGAGATTGGCCCGAGTCCCAAAACCGTGTGGTCACACCGAATCCCGACTGATTCACCACACGGTATAGTCACTGCACCGTCTGGGCCCTACCCAGCACCTGGCTCGCCGCCGCCCAAGAGGGAGAGCGCGCCAGGGTACGAGTGGTGCTCGTTGCGCGCGAGAGGGCGCGCCCAAGATAGCCTGAACGTCCTGCGGTCCCGAGAAAAATCTCGCCAGAGGTGGGAACGATTAAGGGCCATTGAGCTCCCACAAAGCTGGCCAGATTAAGCACATGATTAAGCCAGATTAGGCCAGCCTAAGCGGGAGTAAGCGGGGATATGCTGGACTAGGTCGTTTTACTGCGATGGCTTTACAATGATAGGGCGACGAGATCTATACTTATGCACCGCCGCTGGCCAGGCCCATCCTGGGCCCAGGAACACTGTATACGCCCTGCATTGTTCCAACATTGCCGTCGTTCTGTGGTGCTTCCCGACGGTTCTGCCGGGTTTCCCCGCAGAGGCTCGGCAAAATCATGGTTTTCCTTGCACCCCGCGAGCTCCAGTGAGGTACCGTGGTACAGTAAAGGCCCGACCACAAGAAACCTTCCACAAGAAACCCAACCCTGTGACCCCAGGACGTCCATCGATTTTTGACGTGGGAGCGTCACGCTCTCCATGGCAAAACCATCGAGACCCCAGAAACCCAGGGCACCCTGGAGGCAAGCAAAGTGTTTCTTGGCATGGTCCCCCACTGTACCGTGCTGGCTTAAAATGGTGCCATGACCGACAAATCTCGGGAAGCTACCTCGCTGCAGCTCTGGCGCGGCCTCGGCGGCGGGGGGCTTGCCACGGGCAGCGCGACAGGGGAATGGCACTGCAACGGAGGAAGAATAGCCGAGCAATACAGACCGAGATGATGACGATGAAAACTATGATAACGATGTTGATGGTGACGACGACAATGATGATGATGATGATGATGATGATGATGATGATGATGATGATGATGATGATGATGATAATGATGACGATGATGATGGTGACGAAGATGGTGAAGATTCTGATGACGATGACGATGATGATGATGCTGCTGATGATGATTATGATGGTGATGATGCTGAGACTGATAAATATGATTGATAACGATGATGATGATGATGATGATGATGATGATGATGATGATGATGATGACGATGCTGCTGCTGATGATGGTGGTGGTGATGATACTGATGATGATTATGATGATGATGATCGTGATGCTAAGTATGATGATAATGATGATTATGTCGATGATGATGGTGATGGTAATGATGATGATGATGATGATGATGATAATGAGGATGATGATGATGATGATGATGATGATGATGATGATGATGATGTCGCGGGTGCTGATGCTGATGGTGATGAAGATGGTGGTAATGATGATTATGATAATGATGATAATAATGATAATGATGATAATGATGATAGTGATGTTGATGGTGGATGTGATGATGATTGATGATGATGATGATGGTGGAATGATGATTGTGATGATGATCAACCTGATAATGATGAGGATGATGATGATGATTGCTGGTGATGCTGCTGATGTTGATGGTGGTGGTGAGGAGAGGAAGAAAAACGTGCACGCCGCTCCTCGCGTCTTCTCTCCTTCTGTCTCAACACCCGGTCCCTGTGGCTCATCGCGGGCGGCAAGGCCTCCGACGGCGGGGGCGCTGGCGATGGCTTGCCCGAGGGACGCGCCCTCCTCAGCCTCTCTGGGCCCTCCCTGTTCGCGAACGCGTCAGGCGCTCCCCGCTGGCCCTCCTCCCCCCCGCCCCCCCTGCGCACCTCCCCCTCCCTTCCCTCTTCTCTCCCAGCATGCCCCCCTCTCCACCTCCCGCATATCGACCCAATCCCTCCTTTCATCGCGCATCATCTCGTTCCCGTTCCTCCTCTTCCACCTCCTCCTCCTCCTCCTCCTCCTCCTCCTCTTCCTCTTCCTCATTTTGTTATTGCTCCTCCTCCTCCTCCTCCTCCTCCTCCTCCGCCTCCTCCTCTTCATCCTCCATATCCTCGCCCTTTTCCTGTTCATCCTCCTCCTCCCCCTACACCACCTCCCGCCCACCACGAGCCCCACTGTGTTTCCTGATCTTCAGATTGCTCCTCACACTTTGAACAGTCGAAACCGTGGAGAATGAGTCGACGCCGCGTGTAATTAGTTATAGGGGCGTGGGAAGAGACATAGAGAGAAAAAGGTACACACAAACACACTGGACACATTTCTATCCATGTGTGTTAACCAGCGCGGTCCCCAAATAGTGTGCGACTAACAATCTATGTTGTGCAATATGAGTTGTGCAATCGGTGCGGGTGGGGATGCACCCTGCCGAACGTAGAATTATCAATACATTTTTCGCGCAAGCATCCCACCCACCCACCCGCAACTTGCCTTGCAAAACACATGCGACGGCGATTGCGATGAATGCTTGGCGTTGGCTGGTGCGTCTCTGCGGCCACGCTAGCCCGCGCATCCTCGCGCGCGCACCGACCAGCTACTTTGGCGCGACCGACGCGGCCGCGGTGGCACTGACTGCTGGGCACTTCCCAACGGGCACGTTAGTGCGAATGTGTAACTTGGCTGGGCGCGGTATCATGGCGACGCTGACAACGGCAGACACGATTATGGGAGTAGCAATGATGGTGACGGTGGTGGCGATGACGACGGCAAGGCCAATGACGGCGCCGAGGTTGATCACGCCCGCCGATAACGATGACGGTGTCCTTGTGTCGGCGATTCTGGTTTTTGCAAAAGTTCGACATGCGCGCGCGGCCGACGCGCGCGAGCGGCCCGCATGATATTACTTGAAACGGATCGCCCCCCCCCATCACACGCGCAAGACCGTTCGAATGAGTTTAATAAACGATGGCTTTCTGAAAAAATCCGCAAGACCGCCAGCGCACGTTGTTTTGAGAACTGATGTCGTGGAACCGTTTGTTTCTATATGTTTTTGTTCGGGACACTCGTTTTGATTTCCTTGCGGAATCGAACGGTTTCGAAAAATTAGGCACACGCGCGCAACAACGCGCGCGCGTGCCTAATTTCGTGTTCCCAGCAGGGGCACCTCCAGATGGCGTGCACTGGGGATTTCTCATCGGCGTCGCAGTATCTGCGCGCGGGGCCCAGGTCAGCGGAGATGTTTGCCCGCGCGCAGCGTTGCTGGGGACACTTGGCACGGGCGAGCCACGCGGCGGCGCGCATGTCGACGCCCCGCCTGACGTTCGGGAGGCGCCCGGGGTCGTGGCGCGACGGCTTAATTTTTCGAAGGAGGGCACGTCGTTGGGAGACCGGCAGCACGTGGAGCAGGGCCCCTTGGGGCCCGTGGATTCGAATCAGCTGACGCGGTTGCCCCAATCGTCGCAGAAAGCGCCGAAGTCGGGCCAGGTCCATGATAGCCGGCGCAAGGCCTGGGCGATGCGCCCGATGGGCCCTCCGCCGTGGGTGGTCTGAACGTAGTCTTTGAGCTCGGTGTCCAGGCGATTTAGGTCGGGGTCGCGTCGGACCTGGCGTCGGACCGCTAGGGCGGTTCCCTTCTGGGTGATAGCGTCGACCTCTACGGCGAGGCAGAGGATGCAGACGGCCAGAAGGGCCCAGAAACTGACCCGCTAGTTGCCCTTGGGACGGACAGCGGCAGGAAGGCTTGCGTCATGGGCCGCGTTGGCAGTGGTGCTCGGGGCCTCTATGTCCGCGCCAGCGGCGCAGGCGCTGGCGGCGAGGGGGCGAGCTTGACGGGCTTTGGCCTCCATGCCCATAAGGGGGGCGGCCGATGCGCGAGAGGCGCCGGCACGCCCACCTCGCGCGGGCGTCGGCAGCGCGGGCGAGATTCAGAGCGCCCGCCGGCGGCTCTGCTCCCGCGTTAACGTAGCTACACACGGGTTCGATGTGGCCCGGGACTTCGAGTGCGAAGGCGGGTTGAGATACCTGCTCGCGTAGGTCTCGGTCAAAAGCCCAGCCCGCAACCTTGCCGGGGTAAATCTTCTGACGCGAGAAAAGGTCGAAGGCGGCGGTGGCTTCGAGGGGCCGAAAAAGGTCCTCAGCGGAGCCAGTGTTGGAGTTGCTATCGTCGACGAAAAGGTGCTGAGCGAGCGCGGGTCGCGCCGGCGCTGGCGGTTCGCCCGCGCGCGCGAATAGTTCGATGTCGTCGAGAGACAAGGAACAGCCCTGGAGGCGACCATCTGCGCGCTGCAGGGGCGGGGGGCAGGCCCCCCCCATCCGCGCGCATCGCTGGAAGTGGCCATTAAAATGACGCCGGGCTCGGACGATGTCCGAGGGGCGCCCCGCACGCAGGGCAACCGACAATCATATGTCCGCCATGAGGAAATCGAAACTGTTCTGCCCGTCGAGAGCAGCGCCCGCCAGGGGAAGGGCGAGGTGTCGCGCGTGCTCGACGCGGAGGACCAAGGACGTGCTGACGTCTCCATTTGTCGCTTCCGGGGCGGCGCCGAAGCTGATGACGCGCGTCCAGCCTGGGCGCCACTCGCAAAGGCCGCGGCGGGCGGGTGCTTCGCAGGCGTATATCTAGAACGATATGACAGAGATGAGCTGCTGGTCGGTGGGAAGTTCACCTTTGCCTTGACGGAGACATGGGCTGGGGATGTGGAAGAGGGGCTCGGGAATGCCCCCCGTTTGCTGCATGGCGCGCAGAACCTGTACGTAGATCCGCAGGATGGCGCCGGGCAGGGTTTTGGCCTCTCGGGCGGTCAAGCCACCCAACCCGCATGCTCTTCTTTCGGAACGGCTGCGAATGAAGTCGATGAGCATATCGCCCGCAAGTCTAAAAAGGAGCAGCGGGGATCGGGGTGGGAAGTTCGCGCTCGCATTCTTCGCAGAAGCCCCCCCAAGTCAGCGCGGCTTCGTCGCGTGTGCGACCCGCGGGGCGATGGCGCGCCAGGATTGCTTACCGCGCGGCGACCACGAGTCTGAGCGTGGCTTTGGCGTCCACCAAGATGGAAGTCGCGGGCAGTGGCCCGCGATGAACCGAAGCTCCGCAAATATTCAATTGCCGAAATTGCCGACGAAATTTGCCGAGACGGTTAATGCGCGCGGCAGCGGCGCTGAACTCTGGGAAGGCCCTTGGGGCAGCAGGTGTCGGGAGGAACGCGAGTGTTCCCCCGCGGAGGGCGGGCGGGCGCCGGCGTTTTTTCGCCCGCCTCGGGGGGCTGGTCGCATTGGATGGTGATGTTATAGGCGTGGCCAGCTTCGCTAGCGATGCGGAACATCCTCTGCGCGTCGTTGGCTTGGTCAGCGGAGGCAGGTGCCGCCTGGAACCTGCGCACGATAATCTCACCCACCGCCCGTTGCGCTTCCCGCCGCGCTGGGGCGGGCGGGGGGCGGCGCGGCCCAGGATGCCGGAGGCGCAGAACTCTTTGATCTAGGCGGCGTAAGTCAAGGGCGACATGGGGCCCGAGGCGCTGCCCATTGAGGAGATCACGAAGTAAAACAAACTCCGTAAGCAAGTGGCGCCCCGCGGACATCATTGATCCGCGCGGCACCTGAGCACCTTGCGCGGCGGCCCAAATCTTTGCCGGCAGCAAAGGCGGGCACGCTGGCGTCGGGGAGCATGGCCAACGTCGCGCCAGCCCTTCTGAAACGTCCGCCCTCGGAAAGCATTGGCGTTGAGGTCCGCGTTTGCGTCGAAGCAATAGAAATAATGATCCGAGCCGACCCGAGCTGCTGCGGCGTTGCGGAAGAGCTCAGCGCTGTCTCCGCTGGCGTAGCCATGAAGGGAGGCCGTGTAGATGCATCCAGGGGCGCAGCCGCTTCGCTTGCGGAGTCTCGCGGCACGCTGCCAGAAACATTCGCGCCGCCGCGCGGTCTCGCGGAGGGCCGCCGCGGCGGGGTCGTCGCTGGCGGTATCAACCAGGGCGGATTGAACGCAGATGGCGACCACACTTTGCCTGGGCGCAGCTGAGACCGCAGCGTGGTAAGCACCTCGACCGCGGCCTTTGCGCAGACTTTGGCCTGGAGAAGGCGATGAGTCCCAGCGGGCCGTCCAGCTACCGTTGGCGGCCGAATTGGCGCACCTCGCGTGCGCCGGGAGGTGCCTGGCGGGGTGCATTGTCTCTTGCATTGTGTCGCGTTCCCGTTGGATCTGGAGGCGCGCGTTCCAGTGTGTCTCGAGGCTTGTAGCATTGAGACCGAAGAGGTTGATGTGACGTGGGCCGTCGCCAGCCGAGTGGCTCGGGTCGGCCCGCCCGCGGCGGCTGATTTCCTTGGAGTTCGACCATGTCCGGGGCGGGCTTCATGAGGGGCCGGCGACTCGAGGGGCCGCGGGGGGCGCGACTGCGGTCTGCGCCCAGGTGCCGCTGGGAGGGCGGCAATCCGAAGACAGAGCAGCCACGGGGCCCCAAGTCCACCTCGACACATGCGGCAGGGGGCCGACAACGATTAGGCCCACCCCCTGCCGTCGCAAGGGTGACCTAACACGCGCAACCACGGTGAAACCGCGGAAAATGGCGCCAGGGGGGTGGGGAAAATAATTGAAAACAAAAGACACCTGCAACTCTTCGGCTCCAGACGGAGGCGAAAAGGTGGGAGAGGAGACGGCGGCGGCGGCTAGGCGGGGGGCGGCGGCTGCGGCACAGCGACCAGGCGGCAGCAACTCGCGCGCTCAGGTACACGGCGCTATGTGCGCCGCTGGCGT